CATTTTAGTCAATACAACAGATTTCCAAAGTGAAAAGGCCAAGTCCCAATTTAAGAAGGTATCTGCCTAAATGTCCATTAGCTTCTCTCAACAACTTATTAAAATTCCTCAATGGCTCACAAAAAGATTAAGAGTCATAACTATACTGCTTATCTAAAGATGATTAAGAAGGGAAAACCCTCAAAAGTTTATGAAAAGATTCTACACCACATAAAAGGAAAACTCAGTGCGCAAGATGCAGAAGAAGGCTACCCTCTCAAACAAGATTTACCAAAGCCAATTTCTGAAAAAAGCATCAACTTGATATTTGGGAAAAAAAAATCAAGGAAAGTGAACACTAAAAAAGAGAGAGAGAGAGAGATAATAGATGAAACATACAGATGAGAGGAAAGGAGGGAGCTGGCAGTCAGGTAGGTAAGAATCAAAGAAAGGTAGGCAAACTAAGGGGTAATTGTAAGGAAACTAAATGCAGAAAACACTGAAAAGAGATTACTGCTCCTGAGCCCCCCTCCTCCATTCAGTGGATCTGAGTAGGGCCTGATAATTGCATTTCTAATACATTTCATTGGACTACCAGATGGCAACATAGGCTACTTGGTGTAGTGAACATGACCTGAGTTTTGAGGTCAGTCAGGATCCGATTCCGGTTCTGCCCTTTGCAGGCTCTGTTGACATCCTGTTTGGACTGTTTCCACATCGATAAAATAAAAGTAATACACACTTCATAAGTGCATTGTGAAAACTAGATGATATGATTAAGTAGCCAACAAAGTGTGGCCCTAATTAAGGTCCTTAATTAATACTGGTCCTCTTCACCTGATTCCTCTAAGGATGCACCACACATTTGCAACCACAGGGTTTACTGTGACATGATTTAGCTATATCACAGATCAAATAATTTCCTCCAAATCTAACAAGTCATGCACATCTCTCTGCTACTAATAAAATCTTTACTATTCATTTATAAAACTGGGAATAGTAGTATAATAGTATCTATTCTATATAATAAAAGGCTAATATGCAAATAGACTAAACGGTGGAACAACCGAACAACTGGTTGCTATGACATGTGCTGACAACCAGTGGGCGTGGCAGCAGGCAGCAGAATGCGGGACATGGCGTGTGTTGGCCGCGGTGGGATGGTGGAGCAGGTGAGTAGGGGTGCCAGACCAAGGCGGGGTGCTGGTCACTGTCATTGGGGTGAGCCTCTGGTGATTACTAAAAATTCTTTGCTCCCACGGGCCATGGTCCCGCTCGGCACTCGCACCTGCTGCTGGCACTGGCCCTACTTGCACCTGCTGCTGGCACTGGCCCTACTCGCACCTGCTGCTGGCGCCTGGCACTGGCCCAATTGCTCGGCGCCCTCAGCATGTGCAAGCGGCCCTGACTGCCCCTGAGGGCTTCCTACTTCCCCCTGCTCCTGAGGGGTGATTGGGGCAGCAGCCCCCGCTCGTACCTGCTGCTGGCACTGGCCTCAATTGCTCCACCCCGTCAGCGGGTGTGAGCAGGGCCGGTGTTGTCACCGTGTGGAAGCGGCAGTGGTGGGAGCGGGGCTTCCGGCAAACAGGGTTCTGTGGGCTGTAACCTGCCCGTGCCCACCGCAGCCTTGAGGCCCACAGTTCCTTTCAAGGTGCACAAATTCATGCACTGGGCCCCTAGTTTTGATATAATAGATAATAGTATATACTTCACAGAGATGTATCCATGAGGATTAAGCTACATGTTAAGCACTTAATACAGTAACTGGCATGTGGGAGGTAATAGTAAATGTCAGTTTCCTTTCTCCTTTCCTTTAATTGGTATTTATCCACAGTATCTTCCAGACCAAGTTCAAAAGCTCACTTAGCCCAGAACACCTCAAATCAATCTTTTCACCTTAATCAGATTGCTCTCTTCTGTGTCACATTTAATTTGAAGTTAATTATTTGGCTTGAGTATTGGTAAGAATACTGTACACTCTATTTAAACTACTGTATTGAATGTTCAAGGAGATAAGTAGAAGACTGTTCCCTGACCTCGAGGAACTTGGTTGAGGAGATAATATACATGAAAAGTTGAATGGGAATGAAAAACAGGGTAGGACAAATTATACAGAAAGTAAATGTGGTATAAGTTCTGAGATTATTGTGGCTGGTCTGTTTTTATTTTGTTCTCAGGAACTAAAGAAACTAAAGAATTACTAAGAGTTACAAGAGACCTCTCATTTTATGACTGAGAAAATAGGTCCAGAGATCTAAGTGATCTAGGAGCACAGCTCTGGAGTGGCAGAGGTTTCCTGTGTCCTAGACCCATACTGCTGAAAATAATGTTTCCAATTATTTTCAAATATATTAATCAGTTTATGTTTGCTCTTTTTAACTGGGCAGTTTTATCTAGCTAGTTAAACACTGTGTTCTGAAGCCAAAATGTTTGAGTTTGAGTTCTGGCTTTGCCAGTTACTCTCTGTGTGATTTATCCCTATGCTTCAGTTCCCCATCTATAAAATGAGTATAATTATAGTACCTTATTTCATAGGGCTGTTGTGAGGATTAAATAATATATATAAAGCACTAAAAACAGTGGTTTTTTCATTATAGTTGTTATTAGCTTCTGAGAGAATGAAAGGCAAAAGTCTATTCTTTTAATCTATTTTTTATGTATTTGCTTTAAAAATTTTATTGTTGAAAGTATTACAGTCCCTCTTTTTTCCCTCCCACTCACCCCTTATTGCTCGCCACCGCCCTCCTGCTGTCTATATACATGGGTTATGCATATATGGATACAAATTCTTTGGTTGCTCTCTTCCCCCCCACCCTCCCCCACCTTCCCTCCACTCACCCACCTTCCTTCTGAGATTCAACACTGTTCCATGCTTCTAAGTCTCTGGATCTATTTTGTTCAACAGTTTATTCTGTGCATTAGATTCCACATTATCTTCTTTTTCATAACCTCCGCCCTCAGATGCTGATCAAAGCATCCAGGTGGGTGCTCATAAATACCTGTTATCGGCCGTAATCCTATCGGATAAAAATAAGTTGCTGTGTCTCAGAAGTGAGATTTGGGATTTGTGTAAATCTGGCCTAGTCTGGTAACAGGAAAGTCTAGAAAAGTAAAAAGATAGCAACAGATTCTAGGACCCAACAGAGCTTCTTTAAAAAAGACAGTGAAGATCAAGAGATGTAGAGGAAAATGGAGGTCAATGAATCTAATTCTAAATGAGCTTTCCCATCTATTTTAAGATCTATTCCAAATTTCCTTAGACAAAATCTAGCCTTTTAAGGAAAGTGCAGAGAACATGCCTCCCTGGGCTTGCTTTGAGGGACTGTTTTAGCAGCTGCTGAGTTCTACGTGGAGGTGGCCGCGTGGATTTGTGAACTGAGGTGACAACATTGACTCCCTTTGGAAGAAAAGATGTTGTCTTTACACAGGAAGTTTAACTTCAGTGGCACTACTTGAAACGAGGAGGAAAAGGATAAGAGGGAGAAGGTGAAAAAGAGGGGGAGGAAGGAGAAGCAGCAGCAGCAACACCGCTGCCAGCTCAGTTCAATATTCAGATTAGAAAAAGCAAGCACCATTTTTTTTCCTGGAACACCCTTCTCCACGCTCCTCAAATGCCTGCTGAAAAAAATCTGGGACGAACTACAGGCTAATAGGGCTGTCGCAAAATTAGGGATGGGGAGAAATAACCTATATTCAGGGGTTCGAAAAATCATGGATTTTTTTTTCTTTTTCTTGTGGGGGTGGGGGGTTGGGGGGACGCAAGGATTTGACATCATCTATCAGGAAATCCAGGGATGGAGAAGGCTACCGACCGGCCTTGCAAATCTTCTGCATTTGATAGATGCTAATCACATT